CCACTGTTCTGTCCCCAGAATCAACAGCAGAATGTTCTTGCAACGTGTCTCGATTTGTGTTGTGTGATAAATGATTTCACGACGGAAAGCGTTTCCCACTCTGTGCCCAGAAGCCTACAGCTGCATACGCGTCACGTGCTGCCGGCCACAGCCACACCGGTTCACACTTGGGTACTTGAACATTTTGGCCCTGCGGTCATTGTAACAGCTTCCCATCGGGGGCTGAAGATGTGCTCTGGAGCCTGTGACTTGCTGTCAGGCAGTGCCAGGCGACAGGAAGCAGTGCCCGCCCTGCCCCGGTGGCTTCAGTCCTTCTGGTATTGAAAACTCACTTAAGTTCTCCAGAGGGGAGCTAGCTTCTCTTTAACTCCTGGCTTATGGCTCTAACCCCCTGCTTGCTCTTCTGCCTGGAAGCCTGACGGACAGCTCAAAGTTAACGTGCCCAAAGCAGACGTGCCAGCCCATCCTCCTCTGCTTGGCCCCCAGGGATCCATATCTCAACAGCCCACAACCACCAAGAGCCATTGGAGCTGGCTCTTCCAATTACTCAGAAAAGAACCTTGGAGTTCTCCTTGGCTCTTCTCTTCTTCTTGAGAAGGAGGCAAGGGGGCAGGGCACAACCATTAAAAGAATGACACAGCAATTGAGGACAGGACATAAGCTGGTTAGAACCAGCTAGCACCAAGATGGTGGAAGATTCAACTCCCAGTAGACCTTGAGCTTCATTATATGCTCACTGCAGTACAATAGCTGCTAAATGGCCCTCCCATAGGGGACAGGACAGCTTCAAGACTGCCCACAGAAGGTCAAAAAGTGGGCGACGGACCAGTTCCTGGGAATCCCAGCCCCTTCCCCAAAGTAGTTGGAATAATCCTCCCAGCTGTTAGCATGTGAAGTTACTGAGCCCATAAAACTAACAACCCCGCATCTCGTGGTCTCTCTCTTTTGCTTTTGGAGACACCCTGCGCTCTGTCTATGGAGTGTGCATATCTCTGAATAAACCTACTTTTACTCAACTATGACTCGCTGTTGAATTCTTTCCTGCACAAACCCAGGGACCCTCACTTGGCGGGGCACCTCCCAGGGACTCACCTGGGACCTGGGACATGGCCCTCCTCTTGCACCCCATTTTCCTCTGTCATCCTCACAATTCATATCCAAAGCTGTCAGCTCTGCTTTCACTTTGTTATTCAGAAGCCAGTCATCTCTCATTCCCCCGCCACTGACTCCTGGTGCCGGTCACATCGACTGCCCCTCCTCCACGGAGTGACCCAAGAGCCTCCCCGCTGGTCTCCCATTTTGAGCCCCCGTCTTCCCCTACACAATCGCCAGAGTGGCCCTTGTAAAAATACAATCAGATCACATCAGCCCTCTGCCTAAAACCTGCTAAGGCTCCCATTTAATTCAGAGCAAGAGTCAGTCCTCACCATGGCAGCCAAAGCTTGTGGCTTCCTCTCTCCACCCCCACCCACTCCAGCTCCTATGGGCTCCAAACAACAGCCTGCAGTGCTGGTCAGAGTGCTGGCCACAGGGGCACGTGCTTGAGGTCCTGACATTCGGGGATCGAGTCCCGAAATACAGCTGGCAACATCCAGACTCCAGAAATTGCATTGTGATGGGGGAGGGAATAGCTCACTGGTAGAGGCCGGTGCTTACCATGCACGAGGTCCTGGGTCCCCAGTACCTCCATTATAATAAATAAATTAATAAACTTAATTACAACCCCCCCCAAAAAACTGCATTGTGTTTCTCATCTGCTACCATCCTTCTTATCAGCACTGACACTGTCTATTC